AACATGACGTTTACGAAGTTAAGCAACGTCGATCCTGGCCAGTACTTAGATGGCTGGCTCCTTGGGAATATCATGTGCTGAAAGCTTGGATGTGCAGTTGGTATAATGAATAATGTTTCGGAATTGTTAATTGGAGTGCCGAGTTCCGTTTGGTTCGTTATATTCAATTACGCGCAAATACCCTTAGGGAACACATGGATTCACTTCTTCTCCCCATCTATGGGTTAATTAGTAAGACCCAAATCCCTAAACCATTATTCTCTCCAGAAACAAAAATAATCTTACAATGTAAAAATATGTTCTGCCTTTGGAAGACCTGCAAATGTCTCTCTCTCTCTCTATATATATATATATATATCTCTCTCTCTCTCTCTCTATCTATCTATATATATATATATGTAGTCTCTCTTTTTATATATATAATGAGAAAAAAGAGAGAGATGTATATATATATATATATATATATATATATATATATATATATATATATGTTTTCAACTATAAAATTATAAAAACATTTTTTTTCTCATTTTATTATTTCCGTTAAATTCCTCAACTAGATTCGGCCAAAATGGCCATCAACAGGAGAAAAAAATTTTGCTTGCTAGTAGCAGTGAACTACAGAAATGAATGTCTTGATGGAGACATATATATATATATATATATATATATATATATATATATATATATATATATATGTGTGTGTGTGTGTGTGTGTATTTATGTAATTGTATATTTGGGCAACAGTCCCTATTTAATACAAGTTTCATTAAAAACGAATGAAAAGCTCGTGCGATTAACCTTTTTATTTCATTTTTGTTGTATTCGTAGAAGTGTTTTCTTTTCTGAACAGAAATTGGCTAAAATTGTCGAAATGTTCTGTATATCCGAGGCTGTTCTATTAGACATTGTCAAGGATGTTTTTTATTGTTTATTTTTAACTAAATGTGTAGATAGTTTCATATATTTATAGAATCATAAGAATGTTTTATTATTTTTTAAACATGGTCAGCACATTGTGGCCATGTTCATAGTTGATGTTATTGCGCATTTTTTTTCCTTTTTTATCATTAGTGCTTCCATTATTTTTAGTTATTTTTCTACAAGTGAATGAATGCATCTTTTTTTCATGTTTCCTCCATGTATATTGCGGATGGAGTTTGGTAGGTTTCCATGTATGTTTAAATGAGTACTAAATGATATATCGCCCATCTCATACAGTGACCATCTACCTTGAGGGGCTCTTGGGTGAACTTTAGAAAAAGAAACTTTGGAATTCAAGTATCACTATGATGAAAGTATTTGAATTCACCACTATAATAATAATAATAATAATAATAATAATAATAATAATTCAAACATTTAATCTGACGTCACTCATAGGTAACACTATTTCATTATTATGTTTTTAACTTTTTTTTACAATGATTTTTGCTCTGTACAAGGCCCAGGGGATACTCAAGATAAAAACCCAAACTTAGACAGGAAACAATTGATAAACCGTTACCCATGTTCAAAAAAGTCCGGGGTGTGAACCAGATGATAGGCGACCCTATCTAATCTTCTTTAGAATAGGAAAAGTAATTCAACAGTAAATAAAAGTTCAAAGATTTAGGCTGAGACGTTAGACGTATAAACTTAACTCATAGTTTAGAAGGAACCGAAAACTCAATCCTAAACAGGAAATACGGGTAAAACCTGTTCAATGATTGATTGATTTGCCTGTTTAAAAGGCATATCAACTCCTTCTGGGTCATTTAACGCCGAAATTTAATTTTCTTAGGAGCTTGGAAATAATAACAATACATGTTATTCTGCTTTCATAACTGAATACATGGTAGATGATACTCTGCTTTTGTGCATATACATCTATGTGTGGTCATAATTATTAGAGGCAGTGATGTATGTTTTACGTTGTGGTATCATTAAAGTTATATTTTGGAATATTGCTTGATTTCTTTAAGAAATTCTCGGATATTATATGGATTAATGTCATGAAAGTGTTCTTTTATGATGGTTGTTTGGTTGTTTGATTTTACTTATCAATATGTATGGGCTATTTAATGGCGAAATCTAAATGTTTTGAATGCAATTGCATGCTTAAATTACAGGTAAAAGGTATTTGCTGGTATGACTACTTGACTGTTGTCAATGGTTGACTGGCGATTTACTTTAAATTTCTAAAGAAAGAAAACTATTTTCATGGTAAAACAATGCGATACCATGAATTATCTTGTTTGTGTCAATTATGGAATATAGTTTGAGTTGAAATTTTACGCTTGGGTGGGATTGATCATTAGGTACAGTCTTAGGTCTTAAGTCTGTGAAACTTAAGTGATAATTTTGACAAAAGAATTGGATGTTGGAATAAATGACACAAAGCAGATCTTAATAGCTCACGTTTGTTTTGATCAGGAATATAACACACTTACAGATGGAATTGAGGATGACACCTGTGATAATCAGGTCAAATGACGATGGGATTCTGAAACATGTAAAATGTTTCACTGAAGTTCGATATGAGCGATACAAGGCCATTATTTTTGATAGGCCCGCCAGTGAGAGAAGGGCTGGTATGAACCTTCTCGTCTCTCTTCCGATACGACACAGGGTCATTATTTTGTTTGGACCCACAATCATATTGTGTTCTTGGGGGCTTTCCTTCCTCCCCTTCAAGGCGTATGACACAAGACCATTGGTTAAGAATTATTATTGACTAGCCAATACCATTTGTCAAGCAGTATTATTGGCTGACTAGCCAATACCATTTGTCAAGCAGTATTATTGGCTGGCCAATCCAAGCAGTGCAATTGGGGTTTTCAACCCCATAAATCGCAGAGAAGTATGACTGAACTGGTCTCGCCGCTAGTAAACACTCTCCCTGCCGAATAACCGTGGTGCCTCACTTAGCTAAAATCTTATGCTCTGCGCCGCTTTTTGAATTCCTTCCATCAACTGCCTTCATTTAAGTAGTTGATTGACCCTGAGCACTTTAGCTATAACTGCAACGGCCAGTCAACCTTTTTCTCCCAGCTTAAGAATTCCTTATAAGGAGAAACTTGTACAAATCACTTTTGCTTATGCATTCATAATCTTAATGAGACATAGTTCCATAAATAAAAGTTGTTATTTTTACACATGAGTGTTGTTGAAGTTAATTAAATTTCAAGCATAGCCAGGGCAGAGTGGAGTCAAGCCTGATAATCGACATTTCTTCACAGACATTCCTGCGTATACTGAAACACACCGCGGGGGCGCAGGATTGGTGCAGAACGATTTTGTAAGACCAAAAGACACAGACCAAAGTAAAAGTGGGATTCTGAGAATATCAGATAACGATTCATCATGTGTTAGACTGTGTCCCTCATAACAACAACTGTAATCAAATTATATTGATAAATACGATCCTCAAAAATGAAATAAAAAATCAACAAAATCCCTTTCAAATCCGCCATTTTTAAAAATAATTTCAAGCGAAGATGCCATTAAGACGCGAATAGTTTTTTTACAATGATGTTCACTCTATACAAGTCCTGAAAGTCAGTCGATGTAGAGGGTTACAGAGTAAATGTGGAAAAGATAACATCTAACTTTAGACTTTAGCACAAACAATAGTTCAATATAATTAAAGTTAATTGATAATTTCTCACCTTAAAAAATACGTAAAACATATTTGATTACGAAAAGTTGAAGATTTAAAATTTTATAGAATAATCTTAAGTATCATTCACAAGAAAGAAATTACATGATGTCCGATTGAGTTATCTCCCCTCTTTATACGTGTAGATTATGTCTTTATAAGATTTTCTAAAGTCAATAAATAAAATGTCTGTCAGCCAATGCGGGTATTTCATTGATGTCTAAAAAGCATGAATGGCCATATTTTAAGCATTGCTACAACGCTTTGATAGAATTTCTTCTCTAAGGACAGTTACTTTTGCAGCATACCTTCTCTTCCTCTCCATGTCATAGATAGCCCTGATATTGTCCAAGAGTAATATAGCAGAAGTCTCTGAGATTTCAGCCCCAGTTATTGTTCATAGTTGATATTACCGAATCTTTTTCACGTATACGGCTGCAAGACAGCGTGGGTTTGAAATGAGATTTTTTTCTTCTCTTAAATGAACTCTCCTCGGCCAGCAAATACTTGACTTTGTAAAACCAAGATGTCTAAATAGATAAGACTAAAACATACGAAGAAATCGTCTGACATTACTAAGCAGTGAATGTTTAAAATCTTATAGGAAGTTCTCACTTATTAACCGCAAGAAGCAATAACGTAACATATTTATTACGTGATGGCAGATTGATGATTCTCAGGGTAGAAATAGCTCAAAGGTTAATATCGTATAGTGCGAAAAATACAAGAGGTTTTTTGTTTTGTTTTGTTTTTGTTATAAATTTCAGTTTGAATTGGCATCTGTTAGAATTTAGCGCTTTTACTTTGTCCATATTGACGTTAAAAAGCCTTGTCAATTCTTGTAAAAAACGTCAAGAGAAAAGTTTGGTTGGTTGGTCGTTTTTGTTTAGCGGCATATCAACATTATGGGTTATATAATGCCGAAATATAAATATTTTTTTTACTCTATTTTATTACTTTTGGAGACAATAGTGTTTCTAGTGACACAAGTCTTAAAAATGAACTCGTAATTGATAGAAGAAGAGGGGGATTTATACATTTGCCAAGGATATTTGCGCTTGTGTAGAAAACGAAACCAACTGGAATTATGACAAGCCTCAATTATTGATTGATTGATTCGTTTTCTATGGCTTATCGTCCCTTTGTAGGTTATTTAAAGCCAGAAAATATTTTGAATTGTAAGAATATTTTTTAGATAATAATTGTTTTGTGATACAAGTCTTTCTAATGTAGACATAGCTGGGTGGAGAAGATATGCATTTATAACTTTCCCAAGGTTATTTTTGCGGAATTGAAAATAACGAAACCAATCCGAGTCCCTCGGAGCCATTATCCATTGCACAACCTGAATATCCTAGCTACATTACCTGTTATTTCCAAGCGATCACCCGTTTAGGTACTGAGTAGACTCGCTGTTGCTTAACTTCGATGATCGTAAGGAAACCGGTGTTTCAACGTGGTATGGCGGTAAGCCCAAAAGAAAAGGAATTTAGTCTTTTAAAAAATATAAAATATTCTCCCACATCTTTTACAGGCAGGGATTCCTGTTAAGCGGTAGTTTCAATAAAACGCGGAAACTTCAAATTAAAAGAAAATATGTTTATATATATGTATATATGAGTCTTTTTGTATGTGTGGCGAGAATAATTATTATCATTTGTCCTGTGTAAGAATCCAAATTAACCGCAATTTGTACTGATTTATAAGGAAAATGGAAACAAAAAGACGCTTTTATTATAATCAGAAAGAGACAATTGACACCCACACACTGAAAATTTTTCCCTTTGATTTGTTTTAAATATAAATTTGAATGACTCCGATCTAAAATATAGAAGGAGAAAGCCAGAAGATTGAGGTCACATCGGCAAGATCAAAATGAGACAATATGGACGTCAAGTTGAGCGAGGAATCACCAATCAGTGGGTAATGCCTTACAGTACATATACTTGGATAGTATATTTCATTTTGATCACAGTCCACCTCGGGACTCTCTTTGATCAAAATGAAATATACTTATCCAAGTACATTGGGTAATGTAGTTTCAGAATACGGTTATGTGGTCTATCCCCAAAACTCTAAGAGGCGTTCGATAACAAAAAACAAACAGAGGTTATATATATATATATATATATATATATATATATATATATATATATATATATATATATATATATATATATATATATATATATATAGATTGATATAGTAAATATTATAGCAAAAAATCACCAGCAAAACGAATCCGAATTCACCAAAGGTTTCATTCAAGGCATAGTCACTGCTACTATAGAAACCGACAAAGAAAATATATTACCACTGAGACATCTAAATGCACTAAACTATATCTTATATATCTGACAAGATAGTGGAGATTAAGATCATAAACATAGTAAAAATAAGTCGTAACTCAACGATACAGACACATACGAAAAAATACACAAAAAATAACTACCAAAACACAAAACATTAACAAGGAAATCATGAAACTAAGTAAAAATGAAACCAAATCGTGGCATAGACTTATAGAATATCACACGATGACACCCAAACTTTACGGTTTCACTAAGACCCACACAATTGGTATCCCTATGAACCCTATCATTTTCTGGAATCGGCCGCGCCTTCCCACAAAATAATTAGACCCATAACAAAAATAAAATTTTAACATTTGATTTTATGATGGGAATAGAAGTTTATTAAGTAATGTTTATTAGTTTAATCCTCTCCTTGGAATAATAATCCCATAAAATATAAAAAAAATTCAGGCAATCTTGTTGCAAAACTAAGGGAAATAAATATGACTGAGACACTTATAGCCAATCAAGAAAATCACTTTACACTAATGTCCCGATTGAAATGTTCAAATCTCTTAAAAATCATCTAACACAATCAGAGATCAACCTCTACCTACTAATAATAAAAATAATAAAAATCTGCAGTCTCATCACCAACCAATGCTATTTTACATTTAATAACAATATTTACAAACAAAAGTTTGGATTACCAATGGGAATTACCAAGTACCAATGGGAATTACCAGTTACCAGTGGAATGATGTGTCTTCTTAGAATTTGTCGCATGTGTTTCTTTCCAAAATATGATACCTAAACAATCAACTTACTTTCGATATATTGATAAGGCTCTATTAATAAATACCCGTGATACTAACTTATCGGATCTTGTAGTTAATCTTGTTTGCCAGCCACTGCCACCAAGCGGACAGGGAAATCGTCTTATCCTTACACCTATCTCACCCTTCTCACGAAAATTCACTTTTTCAGACACCTTAACACGGGATTTAGGTTTGAACATTGGGGATCTGGGGACAGCAATGTAGGACCGAACAGTGTGGATTGGGATTGTCAATGGAATTCCGACCAACCATAGGAAGGTCGAAGGATGATGATGTGATAACCTAAACAAAGACGTAGAATTTACATACGAAATAGAAAACAATACTTTGCCTTTTCTAGATATAATGCTACACAGTAGCATAAAACTTAGCGTCCAACGAAGATCAACTGATAAAATTGATTTAATAAATTTCTATTTCCATCATAACAAAATAAAATCCAGTATGATAATTGGATTCTACCTAAACGTACTCAGAATTTGCAGCATTGAATATTCACAGGAAGCGGAGAAATACATTGAAAATACTTTCATGACCCTCCACTACCCTATTTCATATTAAATACGAAACAAAAAGCTCATAAAATATTCCAAAATAGAAAAGCGACCCTACTGACAAATCAGACAAATCAAAGAATATATTGTCCTACCAGCTAACTCTATCATAATTACAATCGAAAAGAATTTATCTAAATTTAACATAAAATATGTCACAAATGTTACATCGA